CCGAGCCGTATGTGTCGATAATGATGTGTACTGCGGTCCGCGGTCTCGTCTGCTTCGTCGCTTGAGCATCACATCACGATGCCGATGGTCGAGATGTTGTTCACATCTTTTCAATCCGGCCGGCCAGCCATAGCCGAAGCCCCTCCCCTTTCTCCCGCCCGCGACCTCCGCCGCCGCCGCCTTGCTCTGCATGGGCGGGGCGGGGCGCAGCAGCGCCGGCGCAGCACCAGCTCTAGTTTCCTCGGCCGGCTCGGCTCCTCGGCTCTCGCTGGGCGCGGCACGGCGGGCGTATCGCGCGATTCCGCTGATTTGGCGCGGGGGTTGGGTGTGGCCGTGGCGGGACGGGACGGGCCGGTGGGGCCGCGGCGTCGTGGCGTCTCATATTGTTTCCTCGCCGGTAGGGTGGGTTGACCTGCTGTCATGGGAATGGGAAGCCGAGCCGCCGCACCGCGCGGTCGCGGGACGGAGTGAGCGGCTAGCGGGCGCCCTTTCCTGCGCAGAAGAAGCAACACAGTGTAAAACTTCCTCTCTGCGAAAGGCGATAGAATGAGTCCGTTGTAGTTTCGATACCCGACCCGACCGTGGCCAGTACTGCCTGATGTAACAAGGAGGAGGGGGATTTCAATTGCAAGAAGTAAAGAGATAGAGAAATGCGATGCGCCATGCACCTGTCGGGCGGTGACGACAGCGCGTTGTTATCAGAGGACGCCGCGGACCCCACAGCTAGCTACTCGTGGCGGGACCATGGGGGGACAGTGGATAGGAGGAGGGAGGGGGCTTATCAGCTGCGACGTAAAAGAGCCACGAGCAGCGCCTCGTGTGCCGTTGCGTCGCCGTTCGAGGAAACGGAAGGGAAACCCGCGAACGTAGTGTGTTGTGTTGGGCGCCCGTCTCGTCCGCCCGCTCCCGTCTGGAGGACGCGGGCGGCGGGTTATATAGCTCAGCATAGCTGCTGGGCCAGGATTCAAATGTGTATCGGTCGCCTGGTTGGTTCAATCCGCGGCGGCACCAAGGCCACACGCCTGCTCCACGTGCGGCGGGGCCGGGCGGGGCCGGGCGGGGCCCCGGCGACGCGGGTCGCTGCTGCGTGCACTGCCCGCCGCCGCGGACGCGCCGCTCACTGCGCAGCAGACGAGCAGCGGGCCCCGCCATGTCGCGCCTGGCACGTCCTCCTGCGCCCAGGTGAAGTGGCCCGGGACTCGCGGGGGAGTCCCGTACTGGGCGAGCTCGGCGCGGTCTGCCGGTGCCGGTGCAGCCCGTGGTGCTGTACTTGCCGCGTCGCGGGGCCCTGCGGAGGGGGCGGCGCGGTGGTGCCTGGCCTGGCAGCCTCGTGCGCCCGCGCCGCCGCCGACGACCGCTGCTCTGCCCGTTAGCTCGCAGCCACGATCACAGTCTCCATCGCGCAAGAT